ACAATAGAAATTCGTAGTCAAGGCATTTGATCTTTCCTCAGTCTGCATCTCCAACTCGAAAAAAACCTACTAGCGGATGTTACGGTATAGCAAAATAAGTAGATGATAGATAGCTATTTCAGAAGCTGGCAACTTCTCGAACTTCCTGCAGCTGTTCCCGTCGTGTTTGTGAAGATTGTCGGAACTCACAACTCTGCTAATGAAGTGTTCCACTGTGTTCACTTTGAATGCCCAGCTGACCCGAATGCTCCTCCTGTCGATGAACGATCTGTACTACCTAAGGATATCGTCGCTGAAGAGATGGAACAGTGATGATACTGATTCCCCCGCTTATTGCTTGCCGCTTGTTAATCCCGAAATACTCGCTTGCTGTATATAATTGCTGATGTAGATAGGTTTTATCCGTTTTGTATATAGAACTTGGGTGTGTGGAAGTTGAAACTATCCCGATGTGACCACCACATAGCATTTTACCGTATGTACCTATTGATTCAAATTTGTGCAAGTCTTAGCATATATCTTGTCAATGCAGCTGCATCTACTTGGCCCAGATCATTTCTCAAAAACGATTCTCCTCTAAACCCGTTGTCATAGTCAATCTCATGTGGTGACCCTAAACTGGTGTAAAATCTTCAATAAAGTGCTTGTTTTGCTTTCTTCTGCTAGTACTCTCATGGGAATTTGGCGCAGGAGTGAATGTTAGCACTTCTGCCAAATTCTCAACCAGATTCTGAAGCTAGATGTTTCTAGCCTGGACAGTTGATCTAAACAGCAAACAGTTAGTCACTGTCATATCGGACAGCAATCACTCCAAAAACGTCGCGCTTTTCATGGTGTTGACGGACCACGGCCGTATGTGTGCATACTACGCTTGTGGACAGTTGAATTTGTTCTTGGTGACAGGTTTGGGCCCATGAGAAACAACTACAATGCAGAAAGAAATGCCTAGAATTTGGAAAGAGAGAGTTGTTTTGAAGACAAGTGTTATATTTTACGTTTCAATATATCATCGTGTGAGAACAAAATTTCTGTTGCACCAGTTTTAATATTGCATAACTTCTTGCTGTGTTCAGCGAATTTGCGCGCTTTTATTTTTTTTTCTAGAAAAGAGTGGACTATGCTTTGAATATCTGTGTTGTA